AAGAAACCCTTTACCCTTCACACTGTTTCGCTAGCCATACTGACTCCCATTCATGCTGTCACAGGTAAATTGTTTTCACTGGCTAGGTAGCTCAGTGAGTTAGGTATCTGTCTGCAGAGACAGAGATTGGGGGCTCGGGTCCCCAGTGATGCATCCCAGAAGAGCCAGTTCATGTGGCCTTGGGCAAGATGCACAGTCCCACGATGCCCACAGCAGAAGGGAATGGCAAACCGCTTCTGTGTACTCTCTACCGCTAGGTAGCTCAGTGAGTTAGGTATCTGACTGCAGAGACAGAGATTGGGGGCTCAGGTCCCTAGTGATGCATCCCAGAAGAGCCCGTTCATGTGGCCTTGGGCAAGATGCCCAGTCCCACGATGCCCGCAGCAGAAGGGAATGGCAAACCGCTTCTGTGTACTCTCTACCTAGAAAACCCTGCAGAAGGTTCCCATATGTCAGAATTGACTTGACAGCACACAATTATTATTTATTATAAACTGTTTTCAGTGGCTTGTGCTGTGTGCTCAGCTGATAATGGAGTTGCTTTTGCCCCATGAGCACAATTGCTTTAAAAGTGGAGGTTGCCGTGAAGATCACAATCTGAGAGGAGAGCAGCCCTAGGTTTCAGCCTTCCCAGAGAATTCAGATATGGCCGAATCTCTACATCTACTGTACTACCATTTCTCATGGATTACGCCGATTTTTGAAAAATTACAGTAACAGAATGCTTATTAGCCTCCAGCTGGATGGTTCATTTGTGTCCCAATGACAGATGGAGGAATACGATGGGCATAGATGAATGGAACGGAACAGCTGTCACACATTAAAATGATAGCCCTGGATACTGACCAGAACTAGGAAAGGTTATATTTCTGGACCATAGGTTCCACCGGTTATAAGTCCAAATACAGTACATAATTTTTCCAGGCTCTAACACTGACCCTAAGAAGAGACCACCAAGTTGTCTCTGTTGACACATATACCTGCCCCTCATCTCTCACTGCTTCATTCCTCTTTTTCAGCAAGGACCTAAATCTCCTTGTTAGTTTCCCCAACAGCAGATCCACTGAATCAATGATACACACTTAAGTTTCAATGCCCCCCCCTTTGGGAATTAACAATTCCATTGAGGCTAAGGTTTTCAGCAGAAGCAATATATTCATAACTTAAGAAGAAGGTGAACACAAAATGAAAAAAGAAAAACAGGGGGACAATCTTGACTTATTAGGCTTTGAAACAGGTTTGGATTTGATTAGATTAGGTTGGGGAATGTGTGGCTCTCCAGATGTCCAGGGGCTGCCTCTGCTTCTGCAGAGAGAGGATGAGCAAGACAAAATCAGTGGGAATTCATTCAAAGTGATTTGGTGGGGGGCAGCAGCAATGGGCAGTGGAGCATAATGCCAGTCTTACACCACCATCATCTTGGAGCCCTCATGTTAGAACAGGATACAAGTGGAGCAAATTAGAGCAGAATTTTCTTTTAAAAATTGGAATTCCTCTAACCCAGAACTGCTTTCTGCTGGAAATTCACCACAACGCAATCTAAGACCCGTTTATTCAAACTTTCTTTTGACAGTCCAAGGATAGAGTATAGATGGGGTCTGGGCAAAGTTCTTTTGAGTTTTTTAAATTATGTGTTGCTATTCATCTTGAAACTTCAGAACACATCAGATAAAGTAAAATAATTTAAGATAAAATAAAATAAATAATAAATTAATGTGTAAATAAATACACCACCAATGAATCTATATATAATTTCTCATTTTGTCTGGGTGAATAGCTGAGAAGATTCATTCCAACAAATACATAACTTTTATTTATATATTCTGCACACAAACAGGGTTGCTAGGTCTAATTGCTTTAAAATGCTATCTGATACAGGTTGACTCTCAACTAAATTCCATGCAGTTCAATGGGACTTCCTCCCATATGAGTTTGATTGAAATGACTGTGAACAATGTTGCTGAACTCGCAAAATGTCAATGTAGCAACTGCAAGTATAGAAGTATAGACTCGCTACAATTCCCTCTTTCTCTGTTCTTAACAATAAAATGACAATTAGAAACACAGACAACAGTAGGCATTACAAAGCCTTACAGATATTGATGGAGTCCTATGCATATTTATGGGGAATGACATCTCACTATGTTCAGGGGAAGCGTGCTGTATGAATCCTAGGTAAGTGTGCATAACATTGCAGGCTTAATCATGTGTACTTGATTCTAGTCCCACTAAAATCTATAGGAGCTCAATACGGTGCATGTCAAGTCAGGAGTAAGTGGGGCTTACTCCTGACTACACACGTAGCCTTGCCGATAAAGTAGCAATGTTGCTGGATAGGGGAAAAAATGCAGTTGAACAGGCTAATTTCTTGAACTATAGCTCTCCAAATTCCCTAGATAGCATATAAAGAAGCATTGTGAGTCCAGGTCTCATAGGGCTCCTGCCCCTAATCTGTTTCCTCAAGTCTTGAATCTACTTTTACATATATGTCCTGGATCAGGTTCAAGGTTTTGACTCTTATATATAAAGCGCTCTACAGTTTGGGACGATGCAACTTTTTGGAGCATCTCACACCAAAGTTTTCTGCCCAACCCACCAGATCCTCCAAACCAGTCTCCTCCAGCTGGTCACCCAAAAAGAGGGCAGAAGGTCTTCCACTAGCGGCAGGGCCTTCTCTGTGGTGGCCTCAACCATATGGAATTTGCTGCCCCCTTTTATCATTCAGATGAAAACTCAAGACCTTTCTTTTTGGGGGGAGACCTTTCATACAGACTTGGGTTGATACAGTGTTTGGTTCATCTCTTGTCTTGCTGCTTCTGTAAATTGTTTTGATGTCCTCTGGTTTTTATACGGTGAGCATTTAAAATGTTTGTTTAGCTTTGGTATCTGTTAGGTACTGGTCACTGTTTTACCTTTTAAATACCGTTATAGTGATGTAAGCCGCCTTGGGTCCTTTTCGGGGAAAGGCGGAATATATATATAAATGAATGAATGAATGAATGAATGAATGAATGACAGGAAAAGTTGGTGATTTAGAATTCGATATATATTAATACAAAAAAGGTATCATGTGGGCTGAAAAACTGTCTAGTGCCTAACAATGCTACAAACACTATTCAATTGAAGATCAGGAATGATATAGTTTAAATTTAACAGCGCACATGGAGCATGTACAGTATATTTAACCATCTTAATTCAGTGAATCAAAAAGTATTTATTTATTTATTTATTTATTTATTGGATTTTTAGCCCACCCCTCTAGACCATGTCTAGAGTAGTTAAAAAGCACCAGTTTATTCACATTAAAAATGAAAGCCTATACCCCTGTACCTGGCAACACATTCCACTGAAGCAACAAGGCTCACCTCTGAACAGACATGAAAAGGGCATACATAGGACTCACACCATAAAGGAAGCCACTGACTGAAGTTTGCAAGACCTGGGCAGGGTTGGGGCACCCAGTTTTATCGCAGCATTGAACACAGTATTGTACTGTACCTTTTGTGTTTAATTTGCCTGGGACCTGCCTGTCTACAAACTCCTGTCCAGTTCTGTATACTATATGAGCACCTGAATGTCTGGGTAAAGCTTCATGCATCCGATGAAGTGGGCTGCAGTCCAGCGTCCCTTGCCCTACAATAGACACATTAGTGTTTAAGGGGTCATAAGACTCTTTGTTGATTCCACCTAACACCGTGAGCATATTTCCAAGCAAACAAGGATTAGGGGCTGCCTGTGCTCTTGATTCAGAAGGGGAAGATACAAAGGCTTCTTCTGTTCCATTATGTTGTGTGTGCGCGTGTTTGTGTGTGTGTGTGTTACAGGGCAAAGCTAAAAGAAATGTATTGAACGTCAAATCTGTGAGTGCAGCAAGAATCAAAACCCAGCTGCCTCTGAAGTGGATTTTAAATCAACTAGTCTTGAAAGGATTTCAAAAGTTTGTGTTTTGTTTCTGCGGCACACGCTGAAACAACCATCCTCTTGGGAAATCAAAATTAAGTTACTGAAGGAACACCACTTAATATCGTACAATAAATTTGATGCAATTTTTTTTTTAAAAAATCCAGAGTAAGAGGTGACTAGTGCCTGTTTCAAGTTTCCCAAAAGTCTAAACACAGTGGGAAAGAATCCTTTTTAATCTTGCCACGGAGCTTAATGGCCATCCAAACTGGAATTCTCTCCTCGCCTTTTCTAACTTTTCGCTTGTTTGTCTCTTAGGCAGCTTTCCTCCTGGCTTTTCCGACTTGACGGCTAAACATGCAAACCACGTCTCAACTCCAGCTCCCTCGACACACTGCAGCGGCGATCGTCCAGTTTCCTTCCTACGACACAAACGCTCGTGGAGGACAACAAAGTGGACGGAAGGCTGAGACCGTAATCAACGCGGTGGTTCTTTCAATGGTGCCCCTTTGTTATTCCTTTCCACCACCACCCACCCCACCCCTGGCTGCAACCGAGGAATGCGGGTTTCCTCCTCAAGACAAATCCACCAGAAACAGCATCAACTTTTCTCCCCAGCTGCAAAAGTCGGAAAACTCACTTTCCCCCCAGCTTCTCTCTCTCTCAGATCTTTCTAAAATGGGGTGGGGAAGCTACAAGAAAGCTACCTCCCGTATATCCCCTTTTCCAACAAGAGCTTTTCTTTTTTTTTTAATTCCAACTTCCCATTGCCAGAGGAAGCGAATCGTGCCCCTGTTTTTACAAGCGCTTCTAACTTCGAGGAAGTTTTTGCAGGCAACAGGCGGCGGCTGGGTGTCCGCCGTTTGTTCTACGGGGCGTAAAATGGAACCAAGGGATATAGGGTCGGGGGTGGGGGCGCGTCGCTCGTTTTCTCCCCCAGGGAAGTTCTGGATCGAAGCGTGCCGGGCGGAGCAGGGACCCACTGGAAGGAAAACACGCCAGGTCCAGAGAAGATACTGGGAAGCAGCGTGGCGTGCGCGTATATACACAACAAGCGCACAATCTACCACACACAGCTCTTGATCTATATCTGCACATACCGATAGATACCCAGACCGTCTCCCAAACCTCAGGCGAGCTGCCACGTCCCAGATCGGATCAAAGAGGATTTTTTTCTCTCCAGCAGGGAAAAATAAATAAATAAGTGCTTCACGATCCGAGGCAGGCAGGCGAGCGAGAGGGAGGGCGAGAAGAGCAGGGAGGTGGGAGGGGGGTAGGGGGAAACCCAAGGTTTTATTGGAAGTTTTAAGTGCCCTACCTGCTTCCAGCGAGGCGCGGAGCGACGGGTCTGGCTGTTTGGCGGGTGTCTTCTCGGCGGGGCATGAAGAGCTGGG